CCTTCTCCACTTGTCTGGTTCCTTCTGTTAAGAAGGAAAATTTAGGATATAGCAGTATTTTCTGAAGCTTTGATTGTTTACTATAAAACATTAGCAGTAGTTTCTCTAGTTTTTGTTTGATTTGTTTTCCTCTTTAAAGCTTTTATGATACATGTTATCATCTAAGCCTCTGCTGAACTTCATACTTCAGAGTGTGAGGTTGCGTGGCATAATGGATGTAAACTTAACCTGATAAGCAAATTCTGTTATGTGAATTTAAAGCTAGTCAGGTAACTCCATGTATGTGCTCAGATGTCTGTATTCAAATCAGAAGGCCATGTATCTTTTGCAGTCAGCAGAGAGAGATGGGTGATTCACCTCTTTCTACATGGACATCTGTATAATGATATGAAATATGTCCCAAATGCTGTCTGAATTCACAGAAGCTCAATGACATCCACAACATCCTGTAACAAGTGTTTTCATAATTACTTGTGAAATAATAATTTCCAAATGTGGGCTCCTCAGTTTGAGAGAGACATGGATATACTGAAGAGAGTAAAGGGTTACAAAGAGGATGAATAGGCTGGAGCATCCCTTTTGTGAGGAAAGACTGAGAGAAGTGGGGCTATTCATCCTGAAGTAGGGAAGGCTCAGGGGGATCTTACCAATGTTTATAAATACTTGGAGAGAGGGTACAAAGAGGACAGAGCCAGGATCTTTTCAGTGGTGCCAGGTGATAGAGGCAGTGGGCAGAAACTGAAACAGGAAATTCCCCTGAATATCTGGAGACAGTTTTTCTCTACTGTGGCCCTTTAGTAGGTGGCCCTGCTTGAGCAGAGAGGTTGGTGATGATCTCCAGAGGTGTTTTGTGATTTCTTTGACTTTTCCTGATCTTTTGTTATTAGAGACAGCAATCATTCACTTTCCCTAAAAACTTGGTAGACCTCTATGATAGCTTTTTTCAGTTGCTTTTTAATAGAGATCAAGTGGTGCAGAACTGAGCATAGTACTGGATAGATGCCATAGATGTGTATTGTAGCAGGTGGTGTATCTAAATATACAGTGTATATAGCTCGCTCCTGGTTTTCTTCTCAGTTCCTTTGCTAACAATTCTGAGCACATGGCTGATGTTTTCATAGAGCAGACTATGAAAATTTGAAGATCTGTTTTTCTTCTGGATGGTAATTATTGGTTTAGCATCTGTTACTGTGTAGATAACTGTTTTCAGTACAGGCATAGCTTTATCTCTAGCACTGAATTTTATGGGGTAGACTGTTGGCTTGCCACTAGCTCTTGAGAGATCCCTCTGTACCTTTTTATAGTTGACCTTTTTTTTATTAAATTGACCTGAAAAACAGTTCATGTTCATCATCAGCAAATGTCATGGTTTTGCATTTCCCTCTTCTCCTCTATAGATTAAAGAGCTTGAGCCCTGGTAAAGATTTTATTTTTTAGGATCATTCTGGTGACCTCTTTTCTCTACAAAACTAAACACTCCCTTTTTTTGTTTCCTATTTGAAACTTATTATTGTCTGTAGGAGGGTTTTACATTTATCTAAGGGCAGATTAGTTTCTTTTAGAGCCTTGGTAGAAAGACCTGTACAAGGCCAATCAGAAATACAGAAGTTGCTTTTGCTGACTTATTGCTTACACAGCTCTAAAAGATACTACCCTGGGGATCTAATTTTCTTGCTCCAAGATTTTAAATCCAGAATTATTTGTTGAATTTATGTTCTTTTGCAGTTCCTGCAGAATGCTACAGCTTCCTTTCCTTCATAGTGTTCTCAGCTTGTGGAGTCATAAACCTCAGTGGAACTTTGGGTGAGATTTTCTTGTTCATTGCTAAACTATTTCTTGTTTATTCTGGAAAGTTCTTTTAACCTTTTTCCTGTTGGTTACATACTTTATTCTAAAAAAATGTTAAAGAAGACTAGTAGAGGAAAAGTTTATATAGATCAAAGAAAGAAGAGCTTTGGCTAGTATATATGCTTTAGCCTGTAATCTGTAATTAACATTGAGGTTTTCTCTAAAGGAGTTAGTGTAAAAATAAAATATAAAGAGAGATAATGGAGGGAAAGAAAAATCTATAATTAAGTTAATGGAATTGGTCATTTTTGAAAAATGTCAATGTACATAGCTTTATATACTTCTGATGGGTTATACAATCTTTGAAATATAATAGGACAGAATAGAAAATTATAACTTTCATTCAAGCAGTAAGACCTCTAGAAAGTGGAATTTGTGTGAATCTCTGTTGGGTTTGTGTAATGAAGTTTTGGTAGCAGGAGTGGCTTCTGTGAGAATCTGCCAGAAGCTTCCTCTGTGACCCATCGAGCCAATGTCAGTGGAAGGGACCCACACATGAGTGTTCAAGAAAAACTGCAGCCTTCCCACCCCTACAGTGAGAAGGACTGTATTGGAGAAGTTCATAGAGGACTGTCTTCCATGGGAGGAATCCACACTGGAGGAGGGGAAGAGTTTGAGTCTTCCCCCTGCTGAGCAAGGGGCAGCAGAAACAACGTGTGATGAACTGGCTGCAACTCCTGTTCCCTGTCCTGCTGCGTTGCTGGTGGGGAGGAGAAAATTAGGCAGAAGCTTAAACTCAGGAAGAAGGGAGGGATGAGGTGAAGGTGTTTTTAAGATTGAGCTCTATTTTCTCATTACCCTACTGTGATTTAATTGGTAATAATTTAATCTAATTTCCCCAAGCTGAGGTTTTGCCTGTCATAGTAACAGGTGAGTGATTTCTCCCTGTTCTTACTTCAACGTACAAGCCTTTTGTACAATACTTCTTCTCCCCTGGCCAGCTGAGGAGGGAGTGAAAGAGCAGCTCTTTGTAGGCATGTGGTGTCCAGCCAGGATTAGCCCACTACAAGAGTAAATTAAATTAGGATGTTTATAACAATATCTTTTGTGATACCGTTGAAAATTTAAGGACACAGAGAGCTTAATCATTTATCTGAAATAAAAATGCTGATGGTAGTCTGGCCCTGGAAATCATCTAGTGATAGAGCTTGCAGATAGTCAGGGAATGAAAGGAGCAGGTCATAGTGCTGATTTTACTTGATGAATTCCTGACAGCAGCCTCAGCAGGTTTCTTTTCAGACTGCTAGAAGTCCAAACTGGGGGCATAAATCAGATTTTGTTGTCTTACAGTTAATTTCTTTGTTGATGAAGTATTATCCAGCAAAAAGTCAACTTTTTATCCTACACAAAACATGTGGTTCTTGTGTAAATTCATAAAAAATATTACTTTCTCCCTTTATTTTTGACTGACATTGATACTAAACAGAACATGCATAAATACTGTGTGCAGGGTTTGTGCTACCATAAGCTGCTTCTGTTAGTAGCCCAAGCTTGTCATCGTGTGCAGAAATGGAGGAGGGAGATTGCCCTCTGAAGATGCCTTTATCCCTTTTCTAATGATAAACATGAAAACAGCCAGAAGGGACTATTGCAGTCATCCAGAATGGATGAGGTGAAGCCCACTTTATGTTTCTGACTGTAGTGATCGTTTTTGAAAAGGGCATTGAATCCTTCTAGTTTCCAGCTTGATCAGATGCCAGTGTGCTCTGAGAGTGTTTAATTTAGTAGTCCAAGACAAAGGGGAGAAACTAGCACTGAAGAGGTGAGGGAGCTCTCAACTCCTTCGCATTTTACTTGTTAAGAATATGTACATACAAATATATGTAACAATACAATACTTGTAGTAATAGTGCAACAAGACAGTGCTTGGAACTTTGGAACTAAGGAAATGTTGGATTGTGTCAGTACCTATAGGGGGCCTGCAGGAGGGGTGGAGAAGGACTTTATGTGAGGTCATGGCAATGGTCTTAAGCTGAAGGATGAGAGATTCACACTAGATATTAGGAAGGAGTTCTTTACTGTGAGACTAGTGAGGCACTGGTACAGGTTGCCTATGGATGTTGGTGATGTCCAATCCTTGGAAGTGTTCAAGGCTGGGTTGGATGGGGTTCTGAGCAACATGGTCTGGCAGAAGGTGTCACTGCTAGAGCAGGGAGGTCAGAACTAGAAGATCTTTACAGGCTTTTCCAGCCCAAACCATTCTATGGCTATAATGACAGCAGGATGTGTGAGGATTAGATTTACAAGGAAGAAGAGAGTGCACATGGTTAAATTATATGGGATACCAAGATGAATTAACAAAAACATCCCCAGACCAGTGGAAGCAGAAAAGCTTACTGCCAGGGGAAGAGTTGTAGTAACCAAAGAAGTGATGATTTCCTGCACCTGAATGTGAGTCAGCCCCTAAATGAAACAAATAGAAAAATTCTTGTATCCTGTGGACAAGTTATTTCATAATAACAGGTTAGGATATTTTGCATGTTTTTCCTGAGGTGTCTGATGTGGATGACTGACATGGAACTAAGAATTCTGTATTATGTGCAATAACTCAGATAAATAGGCTTTCAGTGCTTACCAAGCAGGTAAATAGGCAATATACTGATACCATTTAAGCTATTTAGAAATGTTATTAAAGTTTCTATCTGCAGGCAAATTTCAAAACAAAATAAAGTTAGTTCAAAAATTGCGAGATTCAAATAAAAATACTTTTTTGGTTTAATTATTCTTAATCAGTAGAGTTTGTTTTCAAACACAAAAGTTCTCCAGCCTTGGTTATGGTAGAAAAAAGCATGGTGACTTGAGAGTGTTGTACAGTATCAGCAGGACTGCAGGAGTAGGACCTATGAGAGAAAGGCCAACTATTAAAAGACTCCTATATTTGGTGCTTAAGTAAATTTTGTCAGCCTGAAGTGTAAACATACATTAAGGATACTATTCTCATTAAGGAAAGCTGAGCAATCATTAGGTTACCACTGGTTTCAGAGAGTTTTATATTGTGTATTTACATTTATTTCTTCTTTTTCAGATGGAAATACTGACATGAACTTAAGAACTTTGATGCTTTCAAACCTTGAATTTTGATTGTTAAATGACCAGTTCAAAATACTGCCTGAACAAGATGAAATGCCTTGAAGACCTTTGGTTCTGCTTTCATTTTTCTTGAAGCAATGGTTTTCTCAGCAATGTTGACGCTGGCCCACTCTGGGACCTCAAATGCTACTTTCATTGTTTATGAAAATGCCTATACGAATTTTACCACTCCCCAGTTCTTGCTTCGTAGTGGCACAACACAGCCATTGAGATATGGTTCAGGTGCTGTGCTCACCACTGAGAGAAGTACTTTCCTAGTAAACACCACAGCTACCCTGCCGTCACAAGAAGTTTTCAGGAGCTTGAGTTTGCCACTCCAGATCATTCTTTCTGCTGCTATGATATTTATCCTATTGGTTTCTTTCCTTGGAAACTTTGTTGTCTGCCTGATGGTCTACCAGAAGGCAGCTATGAGATCTGCAATTAATATCCTCTTAGCAAGCCTGGCTTTTGCAGACCTGCTGCTGGCAGTGCTGAACATGCCATTTGCTCTGATAACAATCATTACCACTCAGTGGATTTTTGGGGATATATTTTGCAGAGTTTCTGCCATGTTCTTCTGGCTTTTTGTTGTAGAGGGGGTAGCCATTCTTCTTATTATTAGTATTGACCGATTTCTTATCATAGTACAGAGGCAAGATAAACTGAACCCCTACCGTGCAAAGATTCTTATTGTGATTTCCTGGGCAGCATCCTTTGTTGTTGCTTTTCCGTTATCAGTAGGGAATCCTAATCTGCAGATACCCTCCAGAGCTCCTCAGTGTGTTTTTGGCTACTCTACAAGCCCAGGTTACCGAGCCTACGTGATAGTTATCTTGCTAATTGCTTTTTTTATTCCATTCCTGGTAATGTTGTATTCTTTTATGGGCATACTCAACACTGTCCGCCACAACGCAGTTCGTATCCATAGCCACCCTGATAGCATATGTCTCAGCCAGGCCAGCAAACTTGGTCTCATGAGCTTACAGAGACCTTTTCAGATGAATATTGATATGAGCTTTAAAACTCGTGCCTTCACAACCATCCTGATTTTGTTCCTTGTCTTCATAGTCTGTTGGGCACCATTCACCACTTACAGCCTTATTGCCACGTTCAACAGCCACTTCTACTACAAGCACAACTTTTTTGAGATAAGCACTTGGCTCCTTTGGCTCTGCTACCTCAAGTCTGCACTGAACCCACTGATTTACTACTGGAGGATTAAGAAGTTTCATGATGCATGCTTAGACTTGATGCCCAGATTCTTCAAGTTCTTGCCACAGCTCCCTGGCCATACGAGGCGGCGCATCCGGCCCAGCGCCATCTACGTGTGTGGGGAGCATCGGTCAGTGGTTTGAAACTGCAGTTGTTTGACAATGATTGTTGTTTGCTGGGGTAGTTTGTTTTTTAGGCTTTAGGTTGAATTTTGTTTTGTTTCATATGGCTTTTTCAGTGTGGCCATATCTTATAACTTGATTAAATTTTCAGTACTTTGTGCAATTTTGGGAAGATAGAGGGAGGGAATGTGATTGGCTATAGTTGGGTTTACTACCAGAATACAATGTAAGCAGAATAACAAATGTTACCTCTAGGATTCCATGGAAATCCATTATTTTAATGAAAACTATATTTGGAACATCTTGTCAGGTTTATGCTTACTAGGCCTACAATGTTACCTAATTGTAGGAACTTTTTTTATGCTGCTAAGATACGGTGTATTTAGTTGGTGTAATTTTCTGGAAAACTATTGCTGCTGTCTGCCAGTATATTAGAGCCAAAAAGTCTCATTAGATTATTTCTATCTAATTTAATGATATTTCGGAAGTTTTCATGGTAACATTAAAAACCTGGTTTTTTAATATTTCCATTAATATTTTTGTGCACTTTACAAAATTTACTATATAGTTTGTTCATTTGAATATTTTGTTCTGTATTGAAGATGTATTATTATTGCTTATTATTATTTGTTTAGTCAGTGAATTTCAATGAAAGACCCATGTAAGCTCTAGGATGGTGATTTATGTTGGTATAGCTACATGTACAGTCATAGATTTTCTTGTTTTCTAGCAATTGATCAAAATTACCTGCTCTGTTATTGGGAGACATAGAAGGAGAAAACAGAGGAATGAAAGAGAAAGAAAGAAAAATACTATAACCTGAGACTTAGGCTCACACATGGTTTAGAAGAATTGTGTTCGTGTTAAAATTGTTGCAGGGTAAAGGGTGACTGCAGTTGTTACTTGAGGCTATTACAAGTTATCCAAACCTCATGATGTGCCTGAAAACCTATCTGAAATAGTGATTTTTGGGCCTGCAATTTATACTGTGTTGCTGTAATGTTGTTTCTGCTTGGAGCTGGTATAAGGCTAGGTGTGCTCTACACAGCTGAAATCATGCTGTCAGGCATTTGTTGGAATAGGAGTAGAAATAGTAGGGTAAACCAGCACACAGATACCAAATGAACCATAGTTGAGGTTAGCATTTAGTCTACATAGTAATTGCGGGGAGAAAAAGAGTTCTTGATGTGTTTTGCAATTTAAGTATTGGCTCAAAACATAAACAGTCACAGAATCATAAAATGGCTTGGTTTGGAAGGAACCATAAATATCATCCTGCTCCAATACCCCTGCCATGGGCAGGGACACCTTTCACTAGACCAGGCTACTCAGAGCCCCATTCAATTTGTCCTTGAACTCTTCCAGGGATGGAACATCGACAGCTTCTTTGGGAAACCTGTTCCAGTGCTTCACCACCCTCACGTGGAAGAATTTCTTCCTATATCTTTTCTAAATCTACTCTCTTTCAGCCATTACCCCTTATAACAGTCAGCCAGCAGAGTTTGCTGGGGATGTAAGTTAAATTCCCCTTTTTCCTCTGATACTACTTCACACTGAATTTTTCATTACCTCTTTGTCTCTCTAGTGGCTGCTGCCTCAAGGGTTTACTCACTGTTCTCATCTATTAGGTATCAGCTTCTCTCCCTAAAATGCCAAACTATCTTTCTGATTAATGTCAGACTGTGTTGGTATCCTCCTGGAAAGCAGAAAAACAAGGATTTTCCTTGATGATAGCAAACCAAACTCAGATACTTTTTTTTTTCCAATCAGCTAAATAAATACTTATTGTGAGACAAGTAGAATTAAGACTTAGGTTTGGGCTTTGGAGCCAGATCCCCAGTTGCTCTGGGGCTGGGAAGAATACCTGCAGAATCAGCTTTTTGGGGCTGTGACCAAGAGCAGAGGGATTGATGTACAACAAAGAACAACCAGAGCTAGGGTTTGGGCTTCTCTTGCTTCCATCTGTTTTTCAGTGCCCCAAAGCATGGGGAGCTCTCTGTTGTTCTTGTACCAGAGGAGCAAAAATAATAGCAATTTTATCTGCTTCTGTGTATCTGCACAGTACATGTGTGTATGAAGGAAATGTCCTATGTGGATGTCCAGGAACTGCTTGCTTCCTGACAGCAGCAAAGCATTCAATCCCAGATTTTTTTTTAAAGGTCTTCAATAAAGAACTAATTTAAGCTAAGTTAGCTCTGTTCTTCTCATTGACAGCTATTGGTAAAGCTGTTGTTGTTAAATTTTAGGACTATAAAAGGAACAATTTTGAATTCTGTAATTTCATTTAAAAAAACCCAACAAACTGCCAGCTGAGACTGTGGATTATGTGTAAAGGCATCTGGCAGTGGTAGTGTTATTGATGGCCATGCTTTCTCTTTCTTGTCAGTTTTACTGATGATGGTATAGATTTTTCTGATCTAAAGGAGTTCCACTATAATGCAGAATGTTTTAGTATGTCTTTGCAGTAAAGCTTTTGGTTTTCAATTACATTTACATTGATAGCACAAGTTTATGACCTGGTTAGTATGACTTTTCTGTTTCAAAGTTGTCATACATGTTTATCTCTGAAAGCAGCAAAATTGTGCTTAGAGTTAATGTAACAGAGTGAGTGTACATTGTCTAAATGGCAGGAACAGGTATTTTTGTTGTCTTCCAGCTCTATGATGCAAGAGATTTGAATGTTGTAAAACACAGTAATTCAAGAAGGAAAGAAGATGAGCAATACAGGAAAATTAATGAAATTACATTCCTGAAGGAGGAGGGAAAAACATTTTGTGGGATTTTTGTGATCTCTGATATGTACTGTCTGTGAAGTATAAATTGCAAACATCAGACAGTTAATTTGTCTTGGTAATTAAGCACTTGTTTACACTGACTGTAACAAGGTTTCTGGTCAAAGCTGTATCTACTGATCCTTGGAGAAAAGAAACCCAAATTGTGTGGCTCAAATTCAGAGGTGGTTTCCAGAATGATACAGTATTCACACTTGCCAGGTTTTTTGAGATGATCAAAGCATATAGTGAACAACAGTGTGTTCAAAAAAAGAAACAAGGTGTGGTGTAGAAGTATCCCCAGGGTAATTATGTGTTTACAGAATCATTTGAGCTATTGTGTCTATGTACTGTCTTGAGAGCAGTGCCTTGATAATTACAGCTGAAGTCCTAGGACCAAGTTGAAGACCTCTGAACTGCTCAGTCTTGCTGTCTGTGATCCTGCCAAGAATCCTGCATAACCTCACTGAGATTTGTAATGTTAAAACACATACATACTGGCAGAAGTGGGTCTCCTGAGGCAATTGAATGGTCTTGACCAAGACCAAGGAATTTAAAAACTCAGACTGATCCTTCTTGACTTTAAAGGGAAATTATCATTTTCTTCCTCTCCAGAGATGATAGTCATTACTAATCTGTATTCCCCCATGTTCTATTTTCAGACATCTTTAGTATGGAGGATTTAAATGAATGTATTTTGAAGTATGTTGCAGTTTAATTCATTTAGTCAAAGCATGCTACTTACACAGGTCTCAATTGTACAAATCTATTGCTGAAATGATTCTTTTGTACTCAAAATTGTGTATTTTTGACATTTCTTGTTACTTATGTAAAGATATTTCTGTATATAGAGAAGAAAACTGTTTTGCCTCTTATGGCTTTTTGTCACTATTTTTTTCACTTGTATGCTTAATGCTTTTATATTTTATTTTGGGCATATGCATAAATAACTGTGAGATTTCAGTGATCTTTCTGAACCCATTTGAGATTTTTAATTCCTAAATCATTCAACAATGCCCTCCTTGAAAGAGATTTTAATTTATTTTAGTGTGAAAACAAAAAATTCAGAGCACAAGTTTGTTGTGGTAGGAATGGTGAGAAATATCTTAAGTCCGGTTTTCCAGGAGCCACTACTTTGCCACTAATTTGGTTTCTTTTTTTTTTTTTTTTGGCTAGTCATTTTCTGATGTGGAGAAACCTTGAATTATTGTTTTAAAAAAAGTTGTTAAGTAGAATTGCATTAATTGCATTGTCTTTTCTGTATATAATACACCCATGAAAATACCTGAGAAACAACAACAAAAAAAAAGAAAATAAAAATAAACATTCTCAAAAATGTAGCAGAAGTCTTTAGAATTGACTGTCTTGTTAGTACATGAACTTGTTTCTTGTATTTAATGCCTACCTGCATAATTTGAAACACTTCTTTTATCTGTCTATGAAATAACCAGGATTGCCTGATAATAGGGGGTTTTGTTTAAGCCAAAATATTTCTTGGATAAAGCATTTGCAAAGTGCTCTTTTCTGAGACACTGCGGTAGAGACGTGTCAAGATATCTAGAACAATTGGAATAGTATCCAGCAAGCAGAGAGAGAGCCTAATAAGGAAGTAACTTTCCTAAAATACTACCTGAACTGGGTGTCCCACCTTTTAGCTTGCACTAAGTAATTAAGATCATCTTGTTGTGCAATAAATAAAGCAGGCAGTAGTACTGCAGGGCATGATTCATATCAACACAAGACAGTGACCTTTATGATTCAAGTGCTGCATGTCTGTATGTGATGGATTATTCCTCATATTAATAGAGTGAAAAAAAGCATCTCAGCTGTTTTGGGGAAAACTTTCAGCTTGACGATGACTTAGCAGAAATGCTGCTAGAGTAGTTTCTCTAAATGAAAAAAGACATGTCCCCAAAGAATGCCTGAGAAGGGATAGATATTTCTGCTTGCTTGAAAATGGTTGTGCTCAGCTACTGGAGTGCCTCATTCTGAGACTCCATACCTCTGCAACAGCCACTTTTTCCTCCCTCATCCTCTCCTGGTGCCCCCCATGTCCCCAAGGTGGCTCCTTCTGCACCGCTCTGTTGCAGGAGTTTGGTACAGTGGTGGCAGGAGGAAGTGGAGGTCCCTGGGCAAGCTGTGGAGGCAGAAAACCTCTCACCCCATGCCACCCTTTCCTGTCTTGGAGTTCAGGTTGGACCATCAATGGCAGGCTGAGGATGAGTTTTACCCCCTCTGGTTTTAACATTG